CACGCACTCTCTTCGCGCCTGCGCAATTTCTACACTTGAAGTTAAGAAACAGGATAGGAATGTTAAAAGAAAATTTTTTTCGCACGTATCGTACAACAGAAGTTGTATTTTTTATTAATTAATAAAATCACAAAGTTTCATAATACATAATATATATGTACATAACAAAAATAATAATATTATAAAATGCATACACATAGCGCGCGCACGTGTATGTATGTATGCACTTGTTTCCATGTGTAATATTTAAAAATATAACATAAGAAATCTTAGCATACGCTTTCTCGCTCTTGATTCATTAAACAAGAACAGTCAAAGCTACTATTTTGGACCCTTAAATTAATTATTAATCTCAAACAACCGAGTTAGGTATTCGTGTCATAACACATAATCTTATGATTCATGCGTTCTTAACTAATTTTATACTTTAAATCTGTTTTTATTATATTTAATTATAAATCCAAAGCGCTGAACGCAACTGCACTATAATAGATTTAGATTAATAATAAATACTTACTTATAAAAAGATATATTATCATTGTTTTGCACACGTTCACATATAACACATTTTCGAAGCATTTTAACCTCTTCTCAACCTTCTTTCGCTCTACGTTATACGCGTACTGACTCGCTATGATCAATTTGCGCAGGCGCGAGAAAACAGAGAGAATACACGTATATTTTCTGCTCCGTCTCACTCTCATTATTCGCTGGCATCACGTTCTTCTATAGATAGAGGGGGCCATGCTCCGTCTATTTATATTATGTCTATGAATAGGTCTGTTCGTTTTCGCTACACTGCTGAACTAGTGCAATAAGTTGAAGTAAGAAAACATATACTTGTCTCGCTTCAACTTATTGCACTAGTTCAGCGATGCAGCGAAAACAAACAGACCTAATGTGTCATCTTATGAAATGTAATGTAATATTGCGAAATACAAGGAAAGTTTAAGTATAATGTTGAACAAGCGTTGAGAAGTGGGAAGTAAAAAAATTTGGTAATTATATACATTAAGGGACACTTTGCCGACGACATTTGACCTTCACATATGTGATAGGGGTCATCCTCCTGAGTAACCTTCAGAAGGTTTTAGGCGGTGGTCACTGTTCATTAACACGTTGACTGCCACGGAACTTTTCACGATTCTGGCCTAAGAAGCCAATTTGATTTAATCAAGTAATGAAGCGACGAGATAACTCGTAGTTGGCGTCCTGGGCAAGTAAACAACCTACGAGATATCTCGTAGTTGGCAGTCAACGTGTTAAAGAGATATTAACAAAAGAACGGAAATACGTTACACGTATCCACTCACATCGATCAGAGTCTAAAGTCTTTCCGCTGGATCACCAATTAGAAAATTTTATATTAAATTAGCCAATCACCTATAATGGCGGACATATAATTACGTACAGTTAAGAAAATTAAATTTTATTTGTTTTGTACTTATACATGAAATAGTTAAACAAAAGTCCATTATGTTTTTATAAGTTTATAGCATATATTATGAAATAGCAAAACAATGTTTATCAATTTACTATAATTAAGAAATTTTTTGTGTTTGCTTTACTGAAGTATCATATTTTCTGCGGACATGTATTTTAACAAGTTTCTTTGACTTATTATAATATGTTAATATTTGGTAGCTAGACCCTTGTTAATAAAAACTGCGGCACTCCTTCGTGGCATAGATTCAATAAGCCGATTGCACCGATTAACAGATATGGAATTCCAAGCTTTTGCTACCATAACGTACAGTTCCTAAATATTCTTCGGCTTCCGCAATTTTACATATTTGTCCACATCGATCCATATAACATTTCTGTTGGATTCAGATCCGGAAATTGTGTTGGCCATTTCATTATGTTGATATTACGGTCGTGTAAAAATGTTTCGACGACGCGTGCGGTGTATTTCGGGTCATTATCTGCTTGATAGATTCATTATTCCGGCATATATTCTTCAGAAAATGGAAGCATTTTCTACGATGTTCAAGTACGTAAATCTGTCCATGATTCCTTTTATTCGATGAATAGGACCTGTACCATTAATAGTCATAGAATCGCATACGACTACTAACCCGCCACCCCCTTTTACAGTTGGTTTTATACAATTCTTGCGATATTCTTCACCCATGCGATGTCTTATATATACTTTGCTATCAGATCCGAATCGATTCAACTTAGATTAGTCAGTAAAAATAACTCGAGATCATTGTGTTGCATCCAGTTTAAATGTTTTTTTGCAAAAGCGATTCTAGTTCAACAATTCTTTTCTGATATGAACAGTTTCTTTCTAGCAACGCGTCCATGTAATTGAAATTCATTCAATCTACGTCGGACAGTTCTAACACTTATATTTTTATCAATATCTGATGATATTTCAACGTAAATATCAACTGCAGTTTTAAATCTATCTGATTCAGATAATTGATGAATCTTACGTCAGTTCTTATGTCGATTTTTCGTGGTCTCGCTTTACGAGGAACATCTGGCGTTCCATGACGTTTAACACATTACAAGCGGGAAACGTACTTTTACGTTTTTTGCAGTCTGTCACTAGAGCGCGGGTCACGTAAAAGTACGTATTTAGTAGATTTGTGCTAAGGAGCGACCATATAAATACGATGGGCATTGTAAGTATGTACGGTGTTTGTGTTTGTATTACTAGGCAACGTCGTGTGTGCTCAGCCAAAAAAATACAGTGAAACATGTTTCTTATGTAACTTCTACTGTGTTCCGCTTCACAGAGGAAAATGCTTTGAATGATACCATATTGTGAAGAAATATTAGTCTTATCATTGCTATTTTTACTTGTTATGAAAAAATATTTTTGAATAAATAGAAAAATTAAAAATTGTCTATTTTCCTTTAATTTTTAGTTCACTATTCTATATTTACTTATTCAAAAAAATATCGTTTTTTTTAAATAATAAAGTAGAGCATATATTTAAGTGTAAAATAAAAAAAGTTTCGTTGAGAAAAACGAAGTAATCGATTTATTGCGATTTTACTGAATACCAAACTCCCGCAAAATTCACGAAAAAACGCCCGCTACACGCGTAAGTCTGCGGCGAAATATACCCGCATACAATGTGTTAATATGTTGTATAGCTTGATAACAAGCCATAACAGATATCCCAAGCTCTGTAGAAATCTCCCGATAAGACTTCCCATTTTTACGAAGCTGCTATATTTGCCGACGTTGTTCTGGCGTTATATATTTCGTTTACTCATCACAGTACTGTTACGTCTCTGTACCTACATACTCAGTAGATACTGATAAGTATTGTTTACATTGCAAAAATTTTGACTTATCTGTGTATTACCATAATGTACGTAAATACGTGTCCGCAGAAAATATGATACTTTAGTAAACCAACACAAGAAATTTCTTAGTGTAGTAAATTGATAAACACTGTTTTGCTACCTCATAATATATGTTATAAACTTATAAAAAACGTAATGGACTTTTGTTTAACTATTTCATATATAAGTACACAACGAATCAATTTTAATTTTCCTAACTGTACGTAAGTATATGTCCGCCACTGTATGTGGGCTATCGGAATCCGCCCGTTTATAAACAGAATTTTTAATTAGTAGTCCAGCGGAAAGACTGTAGGCACAGTCGATATGAATAGATGCGTGTAACGTATTTATGAAACTTCTTTTTAATAACTTCTCGTTAATAATTTTTAATAAACAATGAAACTTCTCTTTAATAACTTCTCGTTAATAACTTTTAATAAACAATGACCGCCGTCTAAAACCTTCTGAAGATTGCTCAGGAGGATGACCTCTATCACATATATGAAAATCAAAGTCATCGGCAAGTCCCTTAACACTTTGCGGGCCGCTGTCACGCTGGCGTGACTTTTGCTCGCCAACGGTTATCGGCCGCTGTCACGCTGGCGTGACTTTTGCTCGCCAACGACTTTCGGCCGCTATCACGCTGGCGTGATGGTTTGACGATCAGGAAACATTGTTTTCAACTGTTTTCCTCTCCCAATTCAACAGACTGTCTATTATTAAAATCTTTTTTCGCGGACGCTTGTTTTGTCAGTTTGAGATTGTCTTTCGCTACCTTCAGATATAGGAAACTTACGTTAGATATCCCTCAAAATGCCAATACCAATATAATTGGAATAAAAATAGTGTAACAGTTATTTTAGTGCCTTCTTTAATAATAATTATATACCAACTACTTATGTATCGAAAAATTGCGTAAATATCACCGTTGGCGAGCAGTAGAACCTGCGTGAATCTCGCCGGCGGCAGCGTAACGGCGCTTCGATAAATGCGCGGCCCGCAAAGTGTTAATGTATATAATTACCAAAAATTTGTTAATATTAGATATTTAAAAATAAAATTTATTGAATATAATTGAAAACTGCGTGATTTTTAAAGAGAAATTGCTAAAGTATCAATTAAAGTAATTTTTTACTGAAATATTGCTGAAATGATAATGAAATGAGCTCAATTGACGGAGATTTTCAAATACATTTTCAGTAAAATATTTCCATGAAGGAAATCACTAAAAAATTCAGTTCGTCCAAAGTGGATCACTATAGTCACCTTTTTTTGAGCTGCCATTAAACTTGCAAAATATAGGCGTTCTATATATTCTTTTGCTGTCTCTCTTAACAAAATTGCAAAAAGCATGCTTGCATATTATCGTTCATGCTCTCAGGTCTTTCCTTGTTACGAACTTTCAAATCTATGAAAAGAAACCGCCATATATTAAATTATCCAAAATTAAATCTCTGGAGAGACAAAAGCAAATGTTACTTTTCCGCTTAAATGGCCCGATTTATCCATAAAATTTGACAAACTTTATCGACACTATTCTGATGTCTGAGAGGTCACTCATTCACCACTTCACTACTTTTTTCCCTCTGTCGACTGGATAGCAGAGCTGCATTTCGCCGAATAGTGCGAAGAGCAACGTTTACTCTAACGCTCTGCTTACTTCGCTCCTCCAGGCTCGATCCTCCGTGATACGCAAAGCATCTTGAATATAGTCCATCAACCGCTGCGAACGACATGATACGCTCCAAGACCGACGGGGACGAGGTGTTGTACATGGACGAGGTTCACGAAGACGGATACGAGGAAACGTCGAGGCCGACGCAGTCCGCCAAGGCGCACGCCATGCCGACTATCCGCTCACGTGTCGGCTCGCTGACAGAGACCAAGTTGCCGGAGATTCCACACACGACCTTCGCTACCGAGCTGAACGACCTGTCAGAGATTGATGGGAAGCAGCCGATCGGTTTCAACGACGTCCTGCTGCCGGGAGGGCCGAACAACAACCGAGACGATAGCCGCGACTTCTTCCCCGAAGCAGCGCCCTCGCAGGTCACGCCCGACGTGAACCTGTATCAACATAAGAAGACCGTGGCCCAGGGCATGATGGACCTGGCGCTGCTGTCCGCCAACGCGAATCAGATGCGCTACGTTCTGCAGACGGACGGCCAACACCCGTATTTTTACCCGTCGCTCATCATGATCGGCACGAGCCTGCTCCTACAGATCGCCGTGGGCATCGGCCTGATATGGAACAGCCGCTACAACGTCAAGGAGCACGAACAGATGTGCAAGGCCAACAAGGCGAACAATTGGACGGTGATCGGCATATTCCTCGTTACGATACTCAATGTGTTCATCTCGTCGTTCGGCGTCGTCGACCAGACGTCGTCGTCGACGACGAGCACCGTCGTCGTTGCGTAGCCTGTGTTGGTGCTCTTCTCTCGTGACGGTCGTCTGTTATTTGTGTGCGGGATGTTCCCTTTGACGAACGAACCTTGGGGAACGTTGGGGTATTGTCGTTTCGTTCACACTACTCGGACATGTTCGAAGAAGTGAGACCTTGCCCGCATGCGTTGGCAGGTTGATGTCCACAGTACCTTAATTCGCTCGTTAGAATACCAACCTGCTCCACTTCTCACTTCCAATCTTTTTACGATAGATGTATATATACAGGATATTACACTGTACAAACTTAAGGAACATGTTTCTGATCGAAGTAGTAATTGTCCTGTAAAACATGGATCCAATCTACGCGTTCAAAGTTGACAGCATAATTTTGGGAATATTTTTTCACGAAAAATGGAAAGTAAGGAGAAAAAACGTAAAGATAGAAAATTTAGCGTACAGAAAGAAAGTTAATACTCGGGCTAAATTAACATATACTAATAAATTGTTACTAATTTATATAATTACGGAAACATGATAATTAAGTTTGTACAGTATGTCATGTACACCTGTAAATCGAAATTGCGCGAATATTTTTACGTTATATTCACATTATTGTATGATATGTTTGGTACACATTTTTGTGTTTATGTTATTCATTTTCTACGATATATAGAGAGAGATATATAGAGAACACGCATGAAAAGTAATTCCTTTAATGTAATACAGATCTTTTCTTAAGAAAACGAGACTATGTAACGATTGCGTTTAAACACGATAGATTGACGGTATTTGCTCCAACATTTCCCTCAATTCGACCATCAGTTGCTTCCTGCGTCTTTGCAGACTTTCTTCTTCGGCGATCACGCGTTTGTTCATCTCGTCCAACCATACCTGCGCTTCGGTGTCGTCATATCGACATTTCCTTAAACGCGACGGTGGGTCCAAAGTGGGCTTTTGCAACTCGGCAATTTGCATTCCGAACTTTCGCAGATACCGGTATTGCCCGTCGATCAAGTCGCGTAAATGCGAAGTGAAATGTTCCAAATCGCTTATCACGATCTCGCTGGGGTGGCGTTTCAAGGTTTCCTTGTGCTTCGAGATCACGGTAGCCTGTAATGCGAATCGTCGTTATCACATCGAAGAATGCCAGAAATAGACATAATGATGATGTCTGTCAAACTAGCCCCCCCCCTCTCCTCCAACGCCAAAAGTATCGGTACCTATGCAAAAATTTAGCGCTATTTATGTGCTAATTAGTTGCTCTATTCATGATTTTTGTACTTTCACTGTTTGGCAGGAAATGGCAATCAAAAAGAGGGGAGGGAGGCTACCTTAACATCAAGCTAGCTCCCTCCCCGCCCCCCAAATTGATAGAGTGCTGCAGTCAGAAAACAAACAATGCCTTAATTACGTGCTATTTATATACTCCCACAATGTGTAAAAACATTTTCGAAAAATTGCGTAGTCCGCAGAAAAAAATCAAATGTTTTGAAGCATGGTAGGACTAGCTTGACGTCAAGGTACCCCTCCCCCCCCCTCAAACTGAGAGAGCGCTGTAATTAAAACAACGACTATACACGAATTATGTGCTGATTATGTGCTCTCGGAAAGTGCAAAAATATTTTCGGAAAATTACATAGATTTGCAAAATAACAATATGAAAGCGTTCTGAAGCTTGAGCCCAGCGCTCACACAAGACATATCGTCCTCGTGGAATTTGTAACTCCGGTGCTGTAGATGTCGAAATATTCCTAATTAAATATACTTTCAAAAAATGTTATGAACCGAATTTGCTGCTCGACGCAAAGTGTAAAAATATAATTGCAAAACCGCTACAATACGCTATCCAGACACATTGCATGTCGGTATCTTGCAAAGCCACATGACATATCGAAGATGTTTTCGCGTTTTATAAAAGCACATAAATAACGCAAAAATCTGTTGTATTCATCTCTTCGATTGCGGCGCACGAAATATATTTTTCAGTCCTGGGACGGGGGGAAGGGGAGAGGCAGGGGCTTGACAATTCGCTAATTCCATCCATTCTGAAAAAACACATTAAACGCATTGTAATCGAAGAAACGACTATGCACGAATTATGTGCTGATTATGTGCTCTCGGAAACTGCAAAAATATTTTCAAGAAATTATATAAATTTACAAAGCAATATGAAAGCGTTCTGAAGGTTGAGCCCAACGCTCGCACAAGGCATACCGTCTTCGTGGAATTTGTTGTTTCAGACAAAAATCTTTATATTCAAATATCAAATTCGTAATAATTTCTAAGTAAAAAACATTGAAGATGTACTGTATAAATTGTCAAAATTTTCAAGCATTTTAGTACGATTCATCACAAATTGGTGACGGTGCTTCATGACCGCAATTATTTTTTGA